CTGTCCTCTGCAGTGCTATCCTCTGCAGTGCTGTCCTCTGCAGTGCTGTCCTCTGCAGTGCCCCACATGCTTTCTAACCTCTGTGCTGTTGCCCGTGGCGTCCCTTCATCTCAGAATACTCTTCTATATAACAGCCTCAAGGAAATGCTAACTTGGCTTTTGCTTTTTTTTTTTAAAATTTATTTAGTTAGTTTTTTGGTTATTTGGGGGATGAAACCCAGGATGTCACACAGGCTGGCCATGTACTCTAACACTAAGCTATAACTGCAGTGTCCCAAACTCATCTCTCAAGATAGATCCAAGGGTCCCTCACACTATCCCTCCTCCCAGCAGCAGAAGCAAAAGCATCTTCACCTGACTCTTCACAGCACGACCTGCGTGTGTCTCTCCTGGTCCTTATTCACCATATCACACATCCATCTATTCACTGAAAAATATCTGCTCTCTTTCCACGTTGTAGAAATAATATGATAAGTCCCGGGAAACCAGGTAACTAAGTTCCTGTATAGAGGGGGCTCCAAAAAGTACACCAATTTTTACAAGGAAGAATTCTACCTTTTTTGTGGTAAAGGTAAATACTAGTGGTTTTTGAGATCAAAGGAAGGCCATATACTCTAGTCTGATTGATAGATTACCTGGAAGGCTTCCCAGAGGAGGAGGCACCCAAACGGCCCACAGGACAGGAGCTTTCTCATCTATTTCCCATTTTATGGCAGAACACTCCATGAGGAATGAGGTCATTCATAGATCATGTCAAATCAGGTCATTTATGCTACATGTTTACTGAGTCCTTTGCAAGGACTGTTGCTTTGATGTAGTTTGAAAAGTAGGAAGTAGCCCCTGAGAGCTGGGGGAGAGGATGGAGGAACAGCAGAAGAACTGAGTTCCCGGTTTAGGACACAGACAGATGGGAGACTGGAGCCGGCTGGTGCTGGGTGGCACCCTCACCACAGCGAGCCCTGCAGGAGGAAGGGTGTCAGCTGGTGCTGGCGCCATGGCAGTGGCGGTGTGCAGAACACTGCAAGAGACGGCAGCTGGGAGAATTATGTGCTTTTCCTTTTTCTTCAAAAGAGAGTTTCTCCCCATTTTTTCTCTTTTATTCTACTCCCATACAGTACATCCCAATTTCTCTTCCCTCCATTCCTCCAAGTCCCTCTCCTAATCTCCCCTCTCCCCCAAGATCCTGCTCCTCCTTCATTTCTCTTAAAAAAAAAAAAAAAGCAGGTCTCTCAGGGATATCCATTGAACACGGCCTAACAAGTTATAATAAAACTAGGCATAAACCCTCATATGAAGGCTGGAAGAGGCAATCCAGTAGGAGAAAAAGGGTCCCAAGCACAGGCAAAAGAGTCAGAGACATCCCCTCTCCCACTGTTAGGAGTCCCTGAAGAACACGAAGCTACACAACCATAAGGTATATGCAGAGGACCTCATGCAGACCCATGGAGGCTCTGTGATTGCCTCTTCAGTCTCTGAGCCCCTATGATCCCTGCTCAGTTGAGTCTGTGGACTATTTTCTCACGTCAAAAGAGAGTTTCTATTCTACGTGGCTGAGCGGAGAGGTCCACGTTCCTGCACGTTCCTCTGGCTCACTGTCTTTAGACACCAGGAATCTCTGCTGGGAATCCTTCACCTTTTCCATGTTTGGACCATTTGGTCATCTCACCAGAGGATGTCATAAAGGAAGCTTGACTCTTAGGTACAAATCCTAATAAGGCATTCAGTTGTTAACTATGTTACTGCTCAGCAATTGGGGATACTGATAGAGTGCTATTGTGAGATCAATCGTTAACAACCAAGAATTGATTTTAGATATTAGGATTATGTAAGGTTCCAATATGGTTAGGGAGGACACTTTAGCCCAATTTTATTTCCCCTACTTTTTCATAGTTTTATGATGAAAGTTAAGTAAAAGATAAAATAGTTTTATTTTTCATAGTGGGGGGAAATCTAAGCTGGAATTTTGATTGCCAAAAATTCTATATTAAATCCATTAATCCCTTGAAATTTTAATACATCACTAATACATCCTAAATAATCCCTTTCTCAGGGTCTGGCTCTCTCTAAAGCCTCCTTGGGTTCCCATTTGACTTCCAGTTTCATTCTACACAAACATGGTTTTAAACAGATGTGTAGACAGGTCTTTAAAAACAATCTGCTCTTAGTAAGTCTTCATTGCTAGTCTGTCCTTCCTGAATCTCTTTTTTAGAGCTCCTGGGCCCCAACATGTTAATCTCTTTACAGGGAAACATAGTCTCCAAGAAGCAGTGAGACAAAAAGTGGACCTGTTATCCCTGATGACCTACTCTCTGCACCCTGCTTTCCCAATAACACTGGACTTGCTTTGTCATGAGAACTGTCCTCTCCCACCTCTCTGAATTCTGTCCTCAGGTGTATCTCCAGTTCAAGCTGTTTGATTGTGAACCATAATGTCTTCTTCTTTGCCATTTAGATGAGATCTTATTCATGGATTTGTTGAAAGGAGCCTGCTTGTTGGTTCCCAGAAGCTCGGTAGCTCAGACCCAAAATAATCACACAGAAACCATATTATTTAAATCATTGCTTGACCCATTAGCTCTAGCTTCTTATTTGCTAACTCTTACATAGTAATTTGACCCATCTCCATTAATCTGTGCATCACCACGAGGTCATGACCTACCAGCAAAGTTTCAGCACGTCTGTCTCTGGTGGCGGCTCCATGGCTTCTCTCTAACTCCACCTCCTTTCTCCAAGCATTCAGTTTGATTTTCCTTGCCTAGCTCTACTATTGGCCCAAAGCAGTTCCTTTGCTAACCAGTGGTATTCACAGCATACAGAGGGGAATCCCACATCATGGACTGATGCCATGTTTTGAAGTAAGTGAAAGGGAGGTGGTGTGAAGTTTAGCTTTGACTTAGCTACTTAAAACATTTCTCATATAGTCCAAGCACTAGACTTGGGAGGTATATAACAGCCTCTGTCTTCTAAGAGATGGTTTCACAATATACCTCAGGGTAGCCTCAAATTCAAAAGCCTCTACCCTTAGCCACCCAAATGCTCTTGTTAGCTTTAAGACAGACAAACAAACAAACAAGGGATTGGGAAAATGACTCAATGTAAAAGGCTCTAGCCACACACAACCAGAGACCAGATTTCAGATCCTCAGGACCTACTTTAAAGTCGGTCTGGATGGTACCCCACCTGTAATCCTACAGCTAAATCAGAAGCCATCTGATATCAGTCTCTGATCTCTAAATACATGTTCACATCCATGCATGTACATGTGCCTCCACATATAAACATTCAGAGATATGTGCATATACACCATACACATAAACATGCAAACAAATACATAAAAACAACAAGTGACTATTTGTGGAAGCACCATTTTCACATTTTTATTTCATCTAGTCCTGAAACATTATGTTAAGGCAGTCATTTTCCATTTATTTTTACCTGCATACTCTAAAAATATTTGAAAATGCATTCTCCTTGTCCATTGTTAAGTAAGCATCATAAGAGTTTTATGTTAAGTTAAGGCAGTGCATGGAAGTGTCTGACTATGGCAAATGTTACATTAGGAAGCAAAGTTCTTACTTTGATCGGTGCTTCCTAAGGAGCCCTACTGGGGTTTGCTACTGAAGGGAGGCATGCAGTTCATCATCTGCTAGTGAAGATTCGAAGAGCTGGCTGTTCTTTCTGCCTTCTGCAGTGATAGAGGCTGAAGTCTGGGCCTTTCACCTGCTAGGCAAGTGCTTTACCACTGGGCTGCAAACCCAGCCCAAATAAGCTTTTTGTTGTTGTTGTTTTTCTAAGTAAATGTTTTCAGCATTTTTCTCCATTCTTTTTTAACAACAGGATTATATTCCAAAATAAATAATGTTTTAAGGCTTGAAAGTCTTTTATCGGTCACTGTGTCACATTTCTTTCCCTTTGTATCAAAAGCCAATAAATAAATGAATACACGTGTTCCAATTAGTTTTTAGTGTCAACTTGACTCCACCTAGAGCTGATGCATAATAATTCAACACCAGAAGGACATATTTTATCAGAATTGCTGAAAGTAATAAGTCAAGTGGCTTTTTCTTGAGTGCTTCTCTTCTCCATGGTGAAGTGTTTACTGCTAGAATGTGACAGGGTACAGCACCCTTTTTGTTCCTATTTATGTTGTTTACAGAGACAGGCATGGAGAATCTACTCATATCAATAAGTCGGAGGGGATGGATTTACTAGCACCGTCAAGCAAGTCTATTTCAGAGATGTAAAAAAAGGTCATGCAGTCATTTGTCATGAAAATATTTTAATGGTCTATCCAGTGATGGTTCCATTAGGATGTCCTTCAGTTCCATTAAAAGTCAAGAGTCTGAAACTGCCTTTCTTCCCTGTCACTCGACTTCGGTTCAGTGATGGTGTTTGCAACAGTCCCTTTGTCAGACAGGGGCTTCTGCACTGTGAGCAGAGGACCAGCATCAGCATATGTTTTTCTTTTGTAAGGATGGAGACAGGACATGGATAAAGGACAAAAGGTCCATCAGGAGGAGTCATCAAACACGTTATTATCTGTCTAGAGTACTTATGGGACTTGGGGACATTAACTTAACTCTTAGCACCCTTCTTCCAGATGCACCCTTTGAAAGCCCTTGCAACAGCATATCTCTTTAAAATATACTGTGGTAAAAATCCGTGTTAGGTGCCAGGATTTATTTACTTGACAATAAAGCTTTCTTTCTCAGAATTCCTATTAATATATCAAAGAATAAATGTTCTCAGAATAGTTCCTAGGAAACACTGCTTTGGAGGTCTGTTTAATAAATTTTAATTGGCTCCCCAATTAATAAGATCAAAAGCTGTGAGCTAGAGATTGTTGCAGTTGTAGAACAGATAAGATGATGATGATAATTATGATGATGATGATGATGAATGGGGACGGTGAGAAGAAGAAGAAAGACAGGATGAAGAGGATAAGAAACGGACTGTGGTCATTGTGTGTGGTTCACAATGCAGAGATACCCAACAAGCCTGGCAAAGACCAATGGACTAGAAGTCCCTTGTGTAGCACAACAGTATCTTTCTGGACAGGTGGCTATGGACGACAGCAGTTTCTCAATAAACAACAATGTCCAAATGGTCTACAGGCTACCTCAGATTTATTAGTCTCTTTGTCATTGGGTGAGGCCACGATGTGTCCTGAGAGACGGTGTTGTGGGTCATTTCATGCTGCACTATTGACAAACCTGTAGGACGTTCTCCATTGTCTTTCTCCTCTTCCACCAAAGCCGCCTCAGATAGAGATGGTGATGCTTCCTGGATCCATGATGCATGAGGAGGACAACTGCCCTGGAGAAATATAATGGACTTTAGGCAAAGGAGAAATAAGTGAGAATGTTTTTTGCTAAGACACTGTATCTTTTTAAAAAAGTTAATTAAAAACATTAACTTGTGTTTGGGTCTCTGTGAGTGTATGCCATTCCATGGAATCCAGAAAAAGTCTCAGATCTCCTGGAACTAGAGCTCCCGGCAATGGTGAGCCACCTATGTCACTGCTAGGAACGGAGCTTGAGTTCTCCAGAAGAGCAGCAAGTGCCTTTAACTAACCACTGAGCCATTTTTAGCCTCTTAAATTAATTAAACTGCACACAGGATAATTTTATTATGGCACTTTCATATGTATGAATCAATATAATTTGTTCCTATTCTTCTCTGTCCCCACTTCCTCCTATTGCTAGTCTCTTTCTTCTCTCCAGACAGTTTCTCCTTTGCTTTCACACTCATCTTATGACCTTTTCATTCCCCCCAGGGCTTTAAGATCGTTTCCTTCTCTTTCAAAGTCCCCTTTCAACCTCCAGTGGTGTAGTACCCTGAAAACCAGTGTGTTAGGTACCAGGGTTTGCTTACTGGACTATAAAGCTTTTTTCTCAGAATACCCATTAACATCTGAAAGAATACTGATCAGTTACAGTCTTAAATATAGGTTCCACATATAACAGAAAAATACATAGAAAAATATTTTTTAAGTGGCTTATTTTTCTTAACACAATGATTTCCAATCCAATCTACTTTCCTACAGATTTCACAAATGCATTTTTCTTTACAGCGACATAAAATGCCACATCTCATTATCCTTCCAACTGTTGATCGGATTGTAGGATTCCATTTCCCCATTCTTGTGACGAGTTCAGCAATAATCGATATGTTGCAAGTCACTAACACCTTGCAGTGACTCATAGGTGTAAAATGGTAAAGTCCTTGGGGGGTGGTTTGAATGTGAATGTCCCCCACAGGTTCACACATTTGAACACTAGGTCTCAAGTGAGTGGTGCTCTGTCTGTGCAGACATAGGCAGCTGGAGAAAGTACGTCAGCAGAGGGGAGCTTTTAAAGATGCAGGCCCTTTCCCATTGCTTTTTCTTCCTGCTTGCAGTTTACCGGTACCACAGTCATCAAAGCTGGAAACTGGAGACCTGGCTCTGGCTCTTCCCTCCTTCTCAGCCTCACTTCGGCTGCTGCCTCTTTGCCCCTCTACGCCTGCCCTGGAACTGATGTTTAAACCTCTATTATTGATCATTGCACAGCAGATATTCCCTCCTTCCTGTTAGCATCTCCCCATCCCTCTCAAGCCCATGCTCATCCTTGGTCATGAAATTCCTTAAGTTCCCACAGTTCTTCATTTAAAGCTACCAAGCTCCATGGGTAAGATCAAGTGCAGCTCCTTTTCCAGGACCCAGGACTCCTGAAGCCTGCTCCTTGCCCACCTCTCTGGCAAGCTGCTCTCATCTTCCACCCATTCCCAGAAGTGCACTAACAGTGGAAGTGTAAGGAAATGCTCGCTTGGGGTCTTTGTTTTGTCCTCAACACCATCCCCACACCACAGCAGTCCTGTGGACAGAGCTGTCAGGACAACTGTAGAGCGACGACAATCAGGTTGCATACCTGCTCTGACACTTGTCAGCTGTGTGGGCCCGGGTAATCCCTCTGTGTTTGGAAGTAGGAAAATGCCATCTAAGTCCCCCAGGGTGGACCAAGGACAAGCTGGAGCAATTGCTCCAGGATTAGAATTCTGACTTCTCAGTGTTAGGAATGGACAGAACATGACGAGCACTTTCTATGAGGACTGGGGGCAGCAGATGAAGTCACTTTGTGAGCAATCATGGCTCTGCTACTCTCTTAGAAAGGCTCTCTGAGGAAGTTATTTGCCATATCCTGACCTCCGCTCTCCCTGGAAGCAATGATGTTGAGCTTGTTCAGATTCATTAGACTCATTGTCACTAGTCTCCTGTCAGCAATGCAACTCCGGTTTATGAACTGTGGCTTGCCCCAAAGTGGTGTGAGCATGCATCTCCTTTTCCCTTGAATGTGCTCACCAGGGCACATATCACCAAAGATGACATCACTGACCCTTACATCAGCCTCCCTCTCCCACGGACTGAGGAGAAACAGGCTGACTGTGTCCTGAGCCAGAAGGTTAGAGATGCTGTGTTTCTTGGACTATAACAATGAGGGTAACTCTATCCAAAAGAGCAATCTAGATTTTTGGCTTGAGCTCCCTGTTCAAATGCATAGAATTTACTGTCATATGACTGCAAAGTGTGATAGATTCTTGTCAGACCCAGGTCAAATCCAGGTCCGTCCCAAGGGCCATTGTCTCCCTACGTGACATCTCATCACCTCTTCCAACTTCTGGGTCTGGACACAAGGAAGATGGCTACTGCTCTCTCTGCCCGCCTCTGGGATAACATCTGGGGTGCAGCTCCACTCACTTTCCTCCTAGCCTTCATGCTTCACTGTTATTTCATTGTGCAGTTTGAAGTTAAAATGGGATAAATAAAGCCATATTGTCATACTGCCCTTTGAATTAGCTCCTTTTCATAACTTTTTAAATCATTTTTATTTTTAGAGATTTTATATGTGTAATGTGTGTATCTAAGTATATATATACACACATATGTATATGTATGCACACATGTACACACACACACACACACACACATGTACTGTCTATGTGCAGATGCCTTGGGACTAGAGTTGCAGGCAGTTGGGAGCCACTATGGGTACAGGAACAGAACCCTGGTTCTCTGGAAGAGAAGCCAGTGCTCTTAACCTCTGAGTCATTTCTCCAGACCCTAATTAAATGATATTTTTAAAAGTTTTGTTTTACTTTGTGTGTATGAATGTGTTGCCTGCATGTGTACATGTGTACCATATGTGTGCCTGGTGCTTTCAAAGGCCACAAGAGGATCCCCTGGAACTGGAGTTAAAACCAATCATAAACCATGAAAGCGTGTTCTCTGCGAGAACAGCAAGTGCCCAAAGTCACCAAGTCTTCTCCTCTCCAGCCCCTGAGTACATGATTTTTAATAGCTTTGTGCTTACCATCTATTTGGAGTAGCCAGAATAAAAATCTCTGAAAGAGTGTATGAACTAAACAGCACTTATTTGTCCATAGTGACAGGAGACAAATGTTGTCATGCTCCAAAGCCATGAATCTGGGGACAGTGATTGTCCCTTTATTTCTCCCTGCTCTGGTCTCAATATATCCCCTACAGTTCATGTGTCAGATGCTTAATCCCCAGGACAATAGTGTTGGGAGGCCGCATATGTATGGGGTGACTAGGTCAGGCCTCTGGCTTTGTGGGTAGATGGAGGTCCTATCTTGGTGGTGGGGGTTGACTATAGCAAGAGTGGGCTTCTGCTTTCCACCATGGGATGATGTATTAGGCCCTCAAGAGATGCTGACACCCTGATATTTCACTTGTTTGCCTCCAGAACTAAGAGGATTCCAAAGTGAGCCTTGTCAGTCTCTGGTGTCCTGTTGTAATGACACAAAACATACTAAAGCACTACAAAGTTTAAAAGTCATTGAAGGATAGTCCGAGGCAGGTTTTCCCAAGGAGAGCTAAAAGGTCAAGAATCTAAGCTATTTGACATTCATCCATTCTTTGGCATCTTGTACTCCTGGAGTCTTTTTGTCTGTTGGTAGAGTGGGAGAAAGATGGGACAGAGGAAGGGATTTGCTTTCTGTCGCACAACTGTTTGTCATGTGTTCAATCACAGATTATATTCTGAATTATTTTATCCTTTCTCCATTTACTTCACAAACAATTACTGAATGCACCTTAGATAAGTGCCAGGCTCCATGTGAACTAGACACTGCAGGCCTCACGCTCCAGGATGTTCCTAATGCTGTTTATATGACAAGTCAACCAGATGCAGAAAATGCCAAATGAGTTCCATAGAAATGGACGCCTTATTAATAGACAATTGGAGATATGTTTAAACAATTGTGTGGGCAGTAATTTTTAGTCTGTCTTCCCTTTCAGACTAAAATCACAGAAGGATAATGATCCTGCTTCCACTGTAACTCTCGCCCCAATAGCTAGTCCATGAGTAATGGGCTCAATAAATATTTGAGAAGAAGCAAAGGAAAGATGAACAAGAAAGGAGGTTAAACAGGGAAGACAGAGAAGGAAAAGGGAATGAGAGATGGGGAGGGAGGACAGGAGAAAGTAGCTAGTCTTCCAGAAGAGGGGTGAAATGGTCTTATGAATAAGCTGGAGTGTGTAGCGTAAAGATAGAGCATGGAGAAAGAGAGGAAGTGATTAAAACAAAAGAATGTCAAGACCTCTGTCTTGCTGTGCTGGAGAGGTCATTCTCCATCTACAAATGTCTGTGTATGGCTGTGCAGTGTCCAGGTGTCTTTTGACCCAAGCTGAGGCATCTTGACTCCCCTGAGAGGTGAGCTACACCTCTGGCAAGAGCCAAGGATGCCTGGGAAATGAGGGCCATGCTAAGGACTGTGCAGTCTGGACTCAGAATGAGCTGCCCCCAGCCTATGCTGCCCAGAGTCCAGAGTTAGTGTCTAGCACCCTTGTCTTTGAGGTGCTGCTGAGTGAGCACTATGGACTCAATACACACACCATTTTAAAACATCCCTAGACCCAGGACATAAAAATGTCTTTGACCTTGGCCCACTGACCCTCCCAGGCTGTTATTCTAGTTCCTTGGTCCTTATTTGTAGCAACAATAGCTCTAAATTTGTACCTCTCTCATTCTCTTAGGTACCTTCCATTTCACACTAAACTTTGACCTGTTTCTGATTTAAAAAAAAGTGCATTTCCCAAACTAATATAACAATGGTGTCTGGAAGTCACAAGCTTGCTTTCAGGAAGGACTTGAAAGTAGCCAGGACTTGGGACAGGTGTGTTGCATGCCAGGCCTTCTGCTAAGTACCCTCAGTACCTTCATTATAGGTTTTCCTCCAATCCTTGCAACACCCCTGCAAGGCAGGTGCTATGCCAACCACTGGAAGTCAGAGAAGAAAATAAGACTCAATTGACTGGCTTAAGTCACATGTCTGTCTGTAGCTCCTAACCACAGTGGTGGAAACAGGATCTATAGGCAGGTGACACAACTCAGGTCAAACTGGGCCGAGGTGGGCCAGACAGGCCCTGATGCCAATGAGCTGTGGTATCAGCTGGAACCATGGACAGGATACTAATAAAATAGCTAAAAGTATGTTTAAGGCTTCCTTCTACCGGACACGTGATCCTCAGGTTTTCATTTCCTAGAATGCCATATTCCTACTTAGGTTAAAATGTTGAAATGTGATTTTCTTTTTTGGAGACTCATTACTGTAGACTGAGTTTTTATCTGGACCACCAGCACCAAAATAAATGCACAGAGACTTAATATTAATTATACATGCTCAGCCGATAGTGCAGGCTTGCTACTATCTCTTACAACTTAAATTAGCCCATTTCTAGTAATCTACATTCTGTCATGTGGCATTACCTCTCTTTCATCTTGCACCTCCTGTTTCCTCTCCTTGTCTCTCTGACAACTCCTCTGACTCCACTCTTCTTCTTCCTAGCATTCTCTCTGCCCTGAAAATCCTGCCTCACCATGGGTCATTCAGCTTTTTATTGACAACAAGAGCAATTTGGATTTACAGTGCACAAAAACTGATCCACAGCACATTATGTTGTCCAGGCTTCCCCAGAACTGATGATCCTCCTGCCTCCGTCTCCCAAGCAGTAAGATTATGGACATGTATTAGTACCAGGCAGAGCAGTGAATATTTAAAATAAAAATGCTCAGTATGTAACACTACAGGGGAGTGAAGATGGACACAGGTAGCTGCTATGAGTCTTGCAGAACCCCCAGGGTTGGCTTTGATCTTGGCCCCTGGGATTCTGTCACAGTGCTTCCTGATGATACCCAGATGGGGGTCTGGGCTGTTCCTAATCAGTCTCACCTCTGTGGGTCTGTCTGGTGTCTGGGTCATTGCAGGGATTTGACAGTGTTGACACTAGGAATAGTGTAAAAGGTGACTGGGTAAAGGTCAGCAAAGAAGTGTCTTCAAAGGAATTAGTATGAGAACCCATAAGAGCTCCCGTAAGTACAGCCAAGGACCCGGCTGTCCCCAGCACTGGCTTGTGGATAGCTAGGAGAGGCAATTGCTTGGGCAAACAGGCGCAGAATGTGAGAGGGGTCTGGAGAGGGGAGGTTTGTGAGGTTAATTCTGCTTTGTTGTGGCAAAGCATTCCTTCTCCACGCCCACGTACCTGGACTCTGTCCTTTGGACTTTTTGTGGCCACCAGGCCTCCCACTCAGAGGACACTCAGTGAGTTTTTTCTGGACTCACTGTCTTTAGCCCTGCACCTGGGAGCATAGAAAGGTCCCCGTGCTTGAGGACAGGCTTTGCTCTTTGGTGAGCCTGAGTCTGAACTATGCTAGGCAGTTAGCTGGTCTCTTCATCTGCACACGGGTGCTGAGCCTCCCCGATCCTCCCAGAGCCAATAGACACTCTTGCAAATGCACTCAGACGACCAGGTTCTGGTAAGGTCTGAGAATGAGAGACACATCCTTCTTGAGCTGATAGAAGGGACCCTCTGAACAGAGACTTCAGAGGCTACATTAGGGGCTCTGTGCCGGAGCTGTGGCTCATTCCCCCATTATCCACCATCCATGGGACTCTGCTTACACAGGGCAGATGGTGCTCACCTTGAGTCTCCCTTGTGAGAGTTTCTCATCTCACACACCCTGTACCTCCTCTGTGCTACACAGTGCCTCCTTCATGCCTTTTCTCTCAACTCTCTCAAACCTATCAGGGTCTCTCCATCTTCTCATCTTTCAACTTCAGTTTCTACAATAAACTGATTCCTTGTATATATTACAACATGACATGCTGAAAAGCAAGAGCATATTTGGGCGTAATGTTTCCTCTTGTGATATTCTGTAAACTACTGGCATGTCTGTGCTATTAGGTCCAAAGCCCACACTGATAACAGGAAGAAGCAGGGTGTGCATATGTGTGTGTGTGACAATCATCCTGGGCAGATCAAGGCTAAAGGAGGCAAATTGCACTCAACCGAGCGACAGCAATGCTCCTCTGAACAAACACCAGTCATAGTCATGGCAACAGAAAGGCGTGAGTTAAAAAAACATGTTGTGAGGTTTATGTTAAGATTAAATGAGAGCGGGGGCTGGAGAGATGGCTCAGAGGTTAAGAGCACTGCCTGTTCTTCCAAAGGTCCTGAGTTCAATTCCCAGCAACCACATGGTGGCTCACAACCATCTCATAATGGGGTCTGGTGCCCTCTTCTGGCCTGCGGGTATACACACAGACAGACTATTGTATACATAATAAATAAATATTTAAAAAAAAAGATTAAATGAGAGCATTTGTAGCAAACAACACAGAACTAGAACACATAGTAATTTGTATTTTTAAAGATTTATGCCTTTTTGTTTTCTAATTATGTGTGAGTGGAGTGTGTGCATGTATGTGGGAGTGTCTGAGGAGGTCAGGAGAGGAAGTTAGATCCCCTGCAACTGGAGTTACAAGCAGCTGCTAGCTGCCTGGTATGGGTTCCAGAAAGTGAACTCTGGAAAAGCAGAAAGTGCTGCTCTTGACTGCTAAGCCATCTCTCCAGGCCACAAGTAAACACTTCTTTAAAAAGTGGTATTCAACCCTCACCTTATTGAGAGACTGTTGCTATGGTCCTCACGGTCATCTGTCACCAGTGCAGTCAGCTGAGGGATGCAGGTGAACTGTAGTTCAGATAACATAGAGGTCACTTAGGCTGTTGTTAAGCGTGACACTGGGTGCTTCTTTCCTTAACACATTAGGTTTAACTTCAGTCAAGGGAGGAGGGAAGGAAGAGAACCCTGTGGGAATAGCACAAGACATAAGGACTCTCCAGGGCAAACAATCCTTCTCAAAAGTTACTGTTTCAAACCACGAACAGTATCCTGGAAACCCATCTACATTCTTAGTGACTTAAAAAAAACATTTTAATTATATTGTTACTTTCGTTTTGTTTTGTATGTTCACACACCCACATAGATACATAATTTCATTTGAAGACATACGTGGTCACTCAGGGAAGAGAGGAGAGAGGAAGATGAGCCAATAGGAATAGGAATGGTCTCTCCTCTCTTCCCTTTTGCTCCCAGGGTAATTCACAGACACAGACATAAATGTTATTTTAAATTTTCTCTGTAAGGATTCCCTGCTCTGAGGAAAGACTTGTCCCTGGGCCTCCTTACCAGCCATGCAGTTGCCTCCTGCCGCAGGGTGTGCAGGGTGCATACTTTGCCCAGGATTTGTGACTGCAATGATGTGCCTTTGTCTGTTTTTACTACTACATCTTTATTTTTTAATATACTTTATTATAAAAAGGCGAATAAAAATTTTACAAAAATTAGCCATCCATCTTAATGAGCTTCAGTCAGAATAGACATTCTGAAGTTCACAATGAAACTTCATACTGGACTTTATATTTTCACTACACACTTTAATGTACTTATCTACTAACAAATCCCCCTAATCCTTGATACAACTAGGAAAATAATTAACTATATCCTCATTCATAACTTGTAACCATTACCTGTATCAGTCCTTTCTCATCTATTCATTCATTCATTCATTCATTCATTCATTCATTCATTGTGTGTGTGTGCACATACGCACTCACACATGAAGAAGTCTGAGTACTACTTGCAAGAATTGGCTATCTCCTTCCACCACGTGATCTCCAGGGATCGAATTCAGGTTGTCAAGTTTGGTAACAAGTACCTTTACTAGCAGAGCCATTTCACTGGCTCCGTGCCTTTTAAAAAATAAAACAAAGACTCTTGGTAAGACCTCTGTGTGTCGCTCAGTTACCGGTGCTGGTGGAGCCTGGCCTGCTTCTAGATCTCAGAGAACCTTGTTTGTATTCTGCAAAGGACCACAGTATGTTGTTATACCCCAGACACTTCTCCCCAGCTCTTTTTTATCTTCCATTTTTTCGGCTTTCTGGTCAGGAGGGCCTCCCCGGGACCCAGCTTCTGTGCACGCACTTCACAGAACTTATTCATCTTGTGACTCAGTGATTCACTGATAGGACTGTAATTACCCATTCTCTCAGTGACCAGGCTGTACAGTCATATGGACAGGAATGTGTCTTTCGCTAATCTTGTCCCCCAATATTAGAATTTCCCAAATTCTCAGAATGCATGGGTGCTGTGGGAGTTCCTTCAGCTCCTTCAGCCAATCGCCGCTGAGTTA